AAAAAAAAAAAAAAAAAAAAATCTTTAAGAAAGAATGTACATGGGAGATGTGGAGGCTAGTGCTTGGATGAAAGCAGTGAGGTTGGACAGGAAGGAAGAGACACAAGGACAGCAGCGAGAGGACTTAGTGACTGGTCAGATGTGGGCTAGGAGGGGACGAGAGGAGTCCAGGATGACTCCCAGCTTTCTGTGTTGGGCAAGTGTGTGGATGCTGTCTATTTGTTTACTCTCTATGCCCCCCCTTGAAATGTAAACTCCAGGAGAGTGGGACTTTGTCCTGTTCTTCACCACACCCCAAATACCTATAACAGTGCCTGGCACATTGTAGGAGCTCAGTAAGCCGTTGTTAAATGAAGTTCTCATCCCAGCACTTCTCTCCATCTTTTCTCTCCACCACACAGATTCAAGTTCCCACACAGTTCCCAGAGTGCTCCTGGAGCCTCCCCTGCTTGCATGGAGGCCAGGAGGGTGAGGGAGAAGCTGGGGGTGACCAGTCTTTCCATTTCCAAGTCATGGCACCTCTCTGGTCCACCCAATCTCCACGGAGCAGCCAGAGTGGCTTTCTAAAATCATAGATCATGTCAATGCCCTGCTTAAAGTCTTCCGGGGGTCCTCAAGGCCCAGCGTGCCCACTTCTCCAACTTCACCTCCTTTACTTTGACACACTTTATTCTCAAGTGCCCATGCTTTGCTCTGTTCCTAAAGCCAAATATACCTCCAGTGTCAGTCACACCTCTGTCTTCCCCAGCAATTTGCAAGGATTCCAGCTCATATACTACCTTCTCAGAGAGGCCTTCTCTGACTATCCAAGCTAAAATAGAGCCTTCCTTCTCTGCCCTAGCACATCAACCTGATTAATTCTTTTGCATCACTTATCTCAGCCTATTCTTGTTTGCTGATATGTTGACTTGATTATTATTTCTCTCTTTTTCACCCCTCTCTCCTCCTACCATGTATTCCAGTGCCCAGAACATAGTTATAGCTCAATTAACATTTCTGGACACAATTGTGCTTCCACTATTATGATGGTGATGCTGTTGATGCTCATATAAATGATGCTCTCCCACAGTGAGATACTGGTTTGCGTTTGTGGATCCAAGGACTGACTGGAACATATTCTCGACCATCTAATTAGAGACAGAATCCATTGTCACAAGCTTGGTCTGCGCTTTGAAGCTAGGGTGTGTGTGTGTCTTTACTTCATGCCAGGAGACCTCATAATCATCATTAGGTACAATCTACCACCTGCCTCCATGGATATCCACTCGGTAAAAGCAAAATGAGGATGTGGCAGTTCTCCTCTATTCCTTTGCAAGACAGGTTAAATTTATTGTGTCTTGTAAACTATAAATATTGAGACAGGAAGACAGTCTCTTGGCCCCTTCAGATATTCTCCCCAGCTCCCACACTGGTTCTGCTGGGAGGGGTTTTTAGGACATGCTAGAGAAGAGAGAAAATGCAGTTACCCAGACAGTACTGGAGGGAGGGATTGGGCAGACAGCCAACAGGGGCTGCAGAAGAAACTTTCTGGTCAAAAACTGAAGCAGGATAACCTATCAGTTTCAATAACACTGGAAAAAACCTAAAGGAAAGCACAGTTGAATACATCTCATAATGTTCCTGAAAAAGAGACATTTTAGTGAACTTCAAAAATCAGAAAGGGAAGAAACCTCAATTGTTTCATTTTAAAGATGGGTAATCTGAAACCCAGAGAGAAGAAAGGACTTTCTCAGGATCACACAGAAATTCTGTGGCTGATCTAGGACTAGAATTCTCATTATTCAAAATTCAGGGGGCCCCTGGGCGGCTCAGTTGGTTAAGTGACTGCCTTCAGCTAAGGTCATGATCCCAGAGTCCCAGGATCGAGTCCCGCATCGGGCTCTCTGCTCAGCTGTGAGTCTGTTTCTCCTTCTGACGCTCCCCGCCTCTCATGTGCTCTCTCTGTCTCTCATTCTGTCTCTCTCAAATAAATAAATAAAATCTTTAAAAAAAATTTCAGTATTTTTCTGGCACATAACATCTCCAGTGTAAACCTAACTTTTAAGCTAAATTAAGCTAAGTCATTTCTGTGGCCACAGAAGCTAGCAAGTGCCTGTGTCCAAAACTCACGCAAATTCTTATGACTTCTCATTTCTAGCTCTCCTTCCTCTCAGTCCATGGCCAGCCTATCACAAGACACACATATCACTTCCCCTTTGATTTCCAAGTTGATGCTATCAGAAAGAGGCAGTAAATAACCAAAAGATATATGCTCTTAGAGAACAGAGTGTGTACACGATACTTACAAAAACAGCAGGTGAACCCATATTAGATACTGAACACTCTTTGAAGCCATGTCCGATCAGAAATCATGACTCTCATCCAGTAAACCTATGGGCAAACAGAACCATTTGAGAACATCTACAGTTCTGTATGGGATAGAATGGCAAGAGGGGAAAAAAGAGGAAAAGAAGGTTAAGTCTACCAGTCATGGTTCAGAGTTACCTGGTTACATATCTGAGAACTGAAAAGAATATTTCTATAAAAGATATAAATAAAAATATATTTCTAAACAATAAATGTGGAACCTGGGGTCAAAGTAACAAAAAATAAGGTAACTCAAAGTACCAATTAGACCTGAGGTCCAGTCCTAAATAATTACCTTAGCCAAACAGCATAGATAACCATTCTTCATATTTACAATAAAGATAACAATAGCAATAACAGACGTAGTCATCACTTACTGCCCATATGACAGGCAATGAGTTAACCACTTTATATCCCTTCTTTCTTGTAATCCCCATCCCAATCCCATGGAATGTAGACATCATTTATTTCCAATGAGAATCAGAGAGATGAAGTAACTTGCCCAAATGTATTGCCAAGTTATAGGACCAAGATGTAAATTCAAATTTGGAGTTCTTAATCATTATATTTCAAAGGGTGGTTGTGAGGATTAAATCTAAATTAAAATTTCAAAAGTAAGGAAAGCACCTTGCATAGTGCCAGCTCTCAGTACATGCTCCCTGGTAGTTTGTGTCCCTTCCTGTCTATATTCGCAATCCTTGTCTCATCCTTCACAAGGGAGGGACATCGTCCATGGCCAACTCTCAAACCATCTGAATGGTGGCCAAAGTCACTGAATTCCTGGTCAACTTACTGGGAGACAGATGTGGAGGGGTGGAAGGGAGGCCAGGAGAAGATCCCCAATGCCATCGGTTCCTGTTCCAGCTAGAAAACTCAGAATCTAGGAGGCATATGGAAAGGGGTCTCTGGCTTTGCTGTGAGAACTGGAGCATCTAATTTTCTCCTCTGGAAATTTTCCCCTTTGTAAGGACGGAGCTGGGCTGCACGGCCCCTGAGGGGACCACGGAACTGTGGCAAAGAGCTCGTGTCCCGCAAGTTATTTAACTTCTCAGATCCCACCCCATCTTCAAAATGAGTGGTAATGATTGTAAGGCAGTTTACAAGGTTGCTTAACTGAACTAAGTAATTCCACAAAATGTGCTTAGCGGAGTGCCTAGTTCATGGTAAGCATTCAATAAATGTTGGTTATTATTTCTATTGCCATTTTTTTATGATTCCAACCCCAACAACACTCGAGGTGTCTCTATTAAGCCAGGGGGTCCCGATGTGAATGACTTGAATTTACAAATGCATTCAATGGTCTGTCCAAACAGCGGGTCTACAGCTCTTCATTTAGGGCTTTCCATGGTACAATGACCAGGTTTTCTCCCTCCGGGGAAAGTCCGCGACTTACAGAACAGCCACGACAGTGCCTGCAGAGAGTACCCTTCCCCTTATTTTTCAGAGGCCGGGTGAGGCCTGAGCCCGACTTCCACAGCCCGCCCATCTCAGCCACCATTGGTCGCCTAGTCGCTGGCGTGATTAAGGCCCTTCCCCCTTCTCTCTGGGACCACGCTGAGGCGATCTCCGGAAGCGGAGGGGGCCTCAAAGGAGGGACCGCGACGCATCCTGGGCTTTGTAGTCCAACCCTACAGCTGCAGCCAAAGATCGGGGCGTCAGGACCCGGAGAACTACAATCCCCAGCAGCCGGCGGCGAGCGGAGAGAGGGGGAGCTCGCGTCACGTGGGCTCTGGGCCTGGGCGGGCTATTTCTCAGTGCGGCGGCGGCGGCGTCGGCTCGGGGGACCGGGGCCTTTTGTTTGGAGCGGCTGCGGGGGGCGGCCCCGGAGCGGCGAGGCCGGCGGCCTTCCCCAGCTCGCTCGGTCCCGGC